CCTTTTTTTTTTTTTTTTTAATGACACGGACTATGTTTTCAATTTAAGGGAAGAGTATCAAAACTTCTCATCTTTTTATAGTCTCAACACTTAGTAAAATTTTACAGTAAAATCAAAGTTATAGTTAATTATCCCAAATGACTTATATTGTCATTTAGAAAGATAAAAATACTTTTCTAACAATAAAAAACAAAAGAATTGTTCCAAGTTGCTTGTATTTCCATGAACATACTTGCTTGGTTTAATTTTAATTGTTCCAACATAAAAAAGATAGAAAGTTAATTATTTCAAAACTAATGGTCTAATTAATGCTAATTGTTCCAGCATACAAAAAAATGCAAAGTTAATTGTTCCATGGTTCAATGCTAGCTACAAATTTAGATTATCAACCTTGAACTTTCTCCTTCCCTTGAAGCTCCTAGTATTCCCTTTTCAAAAAGAAGGGGAAGGAAAAAAAGAAAAAAAGGGTCCAGGTCAGAAAAAAAGAAAAAAAGGGTCCAGGTCAGAAAAAAAAAAAAAAAAAACTAACGGGGTGAAAGTTGCCCAAATGGAGGATGTAACGGACATAACAGACTTGGACTGATTCATCATATCAGCTGATGTTATCTGTGATAAGAGCTAATTTGTCAAGATCCGCAACTAGAGGGGCTAATTTGCTTGTGAAAAAAATTGAGAGGGTGATCATCAACCTGAAGTGGACTAGAAGGGCTAATTTGCATATTTTGCCTAAAGTTGATCAGCAAGTAAGTTCATGTGCTAAGTAATAATTATATGGTCACAATCTAAGAATTCATCAAATCGATTAAAAATCAATAATAAAGAGTTAATCTTGATGTATTGAATGCAAATTGATTCGGTTGGGATAGGAAAGTTGGTATCAAAGTTTATGAATACTAACTTTTGGAAAGGATAGTAAAAGAAACCAATATCTCATAGATTGCGCGTTTAAACCTCAATTAAATGTCAATTTTCATCTCTTAACTTGAGGATTTTGTATAATTTTTATTTTTCAATTATGAATAATATACTTTTTTTAATCTTTCAGTCAGTTAATCAATTAAATCTACATATATGTATACACATTGTTAGTCTCTCAATTTAGAATATTTGTATATATTTTACCTCTCAAAAAAATAAATATTTTATACTTGAGGAATTAAAAAGGTGCATAAAAATATTGAAGGTCGAAAATTATATGAAGTCAAAAAGTTGAAAGATCAAAATTGACATTTAACCTTAAATCTAAATACTTTTTCATTACTGCCGTACAAATACATACAAGTACCGACTACCGAGTGTAGCCTTAGGTACATAAGGAAAGCAAAGGTATTCTGAATCAATACAATTTCTTAGACAAGATTTGAAATCTCAAATTGAAGTGATTGTCTGGAAGATATGGAATCAAATATACAATTAACTAAATAGGAGTAATTAATTGGGTGGAGATCGTATTTAACTAGGATTAGGACTTCATAAGCATACAGTACATATATAAATGCATATAACCCTTGGATTGTAACATACAAGAAAATATTACAGCCTCTTCACATTGTTCTTCGAGTAGTTTTTACTAAATCATGAGAACTATGACTTGCAACAACATATTGTTAATGACTGCGGCCTTAGTTTTATCTGGGCTATTTTCTCCGGTCAATTGCAGAGGTTTGGCCTTTTTGCATCTTCTACTTTTGCTGTTAAAAATTATAGTTCTGCTTTTTCTTCAGGTTTTGATTATAAAAGCAGGTATATTGATCAGTAAAGTTTTGATCATTATATTCTTTTGTGTTTTGTAGTGGTAAAACCATCTGACGCTGTAGATTGTGCCAGGAACTATGTTGAAATAGCACAGGGCCAAGAAGGCACCGAACCTAATGGAATTCCAATATACTCAGTGCAGATTTCAAATAATTGTCCCAGTGGGTGTAAAATTTCTCGTCTTCATATTGATTGTGGGGAGTTCGTCTCTAACATTCTAGTTGATCCTAACACTTTCAAACGTATTAACATCGGCGATTGTCTTGTCAATGATGGGGAACCGTTAGCGGCTGGTGCTGTTATCTCCTTCAAGTATGTCACAAATTTCCAAATCCCAATGAGTGTTTTGTCTTTGGAATGTTTATAGTGATGGAGGTGCATGTTTTGAGTATCATGTGATATAGAGCAGTAATATTTGGCATTGGTATAAAAAGGACTAATAATGGGACCTTTTTATTTTATTAAATAATATGAGATTAAGATCCAGGGCTCAAGTATGTTGTTATCCTTTGGATTCTAGAGTTATTCGGAGCTATATTGGAAATTTAAGGGTTTTTTTTTAGTGGTAAGTATATATGTTTGGTAATTAGTGTTTTTAGATATATATATATATATATATGTTTCGTAATTTCTTTTGAAATTATTATTTTTTTAAATTGTAGAATTATTTATTAAAATTTAATTTCATATAATTTAATTATATTATAATTT